GGATTATGTCCCAAGGTTCACAGTAGTGATTTCTTGAACCAAATGTTGTGCTTTGTTGCCACTGTGCTTCAGACAAAGGGGAGTCTGGTGGGTATTTCAGGATATGTGTTCAATACAGTCAATTTGTGACTATTGAGACTTGGGCTTAGTGTATGTGTTAATTTTGGTTACAGCTCCTTTGTCAGGCATAGGAAAAAAATAAACTCATTTCCTTTGGTGCCTCATTCTTAAAGGATGCAAAAAGGACCATCTCATTTCAGGATAAGACTTGCTTTACTTGCATTTCCCAGCCTGTCTAGTCAGCTTCTCTCCATTTGTGGCCATAGTTAGTGGCCTCTACTTGGCCTCCTCACACCTGCTGCAGTGTCAGGGGACAGATAAGTGCATCTCTTTCCTTACTCCAAGAGTGGAAAATTAACCGTTTCACTTCCTTGTCAGTCAAAGTGCAGTCCCATCTAATCACAGCAATCCACACACCTCCTAGTTTACTTCAGACAGAACTGCAATTGAGTGAAGGCTTTGAGGAGCTTTAATGCGTTGAATTTACCAAGGTGATCAGACAGCAGGTGGTGTATTGTTCAACACCTCCAGATATGACTATGTACAATAATTATGTGTTTTGGTTCTGTAAATGGGTTTTAATTTTTGTGAATTAACATCAGTTAAAAGCACCAGAGCAACCAGAGAAGAGCTGTGTAAATGCATTTATTGCTCGGCAGTCTGCGTGCTGCAGGTTGTGTGAGGAAGTTAGCAGGAATCCAGTGTACTGATGAGGAGGCTTATGTGTTGCACAGATTTTTCTGTATCTTGGATAAACCATTTAGTCTCACTGTCCCCAGTTTCTTCTCATGTTGCTTTCCAATTTGTAAAATACACTGGAAGTATTGAAGTGCTTTGATCTATTTATTTAGACGGAACGATTTGGAGCAGAGATCTTTTTCACTGTGTATCCTGGAAGCACATTTGAAATCCCTTCTCTATCCTCCAAATAAGCAAGCATGCACAACATGATATTCCAAGAGGATGCATTACAGCAGGTAGCACTGCACACTGCTGAATAAAAGATGGCAGCTTTCCATATGCCACCTTTGAAGAGGTAATCTATTTCCATGAGAATTCATTATGGATGCTCAGGTTACACAGCAGACCCACTGCCCAGATTGCATAACCCAGTCTCTCGTGTTGCCAGAAGAAAGTGAGCCAAGCAGTTAACAGCACGATGGTTCTTAGACTGTTTTGCCCAAAACCAAACTCTTAGGGAAATTAAGAAGATATAAACTTCACAAACGACTTGTACTTATTTATGCTATTAACTATCATCATAATCTTCCATAGAAGAAAAATATAATTCAAGAATAACTCACCAGAAGAATACAAATGGATCTTAACAGTAAAGAAGAGGCTTGTTAGATTCCAGAAAACAGAAAGAAACCTGGAGCTGACTGCAGTCTTTAATTATTTAAATTTTTAATGAAAAATAATTTTAAAAGCCAACATGAGCTGTCTCAGGCAAATCGATTTCTTAAAACATTTAAAATCATTTGGACACTTCACTTTTGTCTGCGTTGCTTCTTCCTTTTATTCCCACTGCACTTTCCCCTCTGCCTGTGGAGATCAGGGTAGCTGCCTCTGCAGAACAGCAATCTCATTTTGTTTACCTCGTGTTTCAAAGAGAATTGAACAAGCCCAGGATTCGCTTTGTCTAAACAAATATTGGCAAGACAAAGGTATCACAGCTATTCTAGGGACAAGAGGTTTGTTGAGATGGAGAATGGTAAAGACTGCCAAGAAAAAAAAGTCAATGTGTTTTTATCTGAAAAAAAAAGTTAATCCTTTTCACAGCCTCATTTTCTTCGCTTTTGAGATAGCTCTCCTTTTTCATTTAGGTTTTAGAGTTTTTAAGCTAAGAGAAGCAAGAAACTGAGATATTTTCTTTGTTCCTGTCAAGTAGCTTGAACAGTTTGAGAACAGAAACCAGTCAGAGCAGTGTGATTAGCGTAGCCAATTAAGGTGGATTTGCATATTCACAACACAGCTATCGAGAGATAATTCTGCAGTGATAACGCAAGTGTGGCAGTGCCTGTCTGCCTATCAGAGCACCCTGGCATCCATGCTGTATGGTAATTGAGAAATAACCACAGAGTGATTCTGCAGATTGGGCACCCCCAGCCAACCCACGTGCTGGCGCTGCACAGCTGGGGAAGAAAGGGCATTTGTAAGGCAGGAGCAGAATGATCTCCACACACACCGGAAAAGGTTAATCTACAATCCATTTACCGAAATGCAACGGCATCTGTCAAATGAGTTTGCTTTTCCAAGATTCATTGGAATACAACTTGTACTAATTGCCAGTTTTGGGGGACCAACCTCATCAGGAGTTTGGGGGACTTGGCTTTTAATGAGACAGCAGCTGGCCAAGGACTGAGTGCCTCAACCCAGCCTGGTCCCCGGGCACTGCGAGTTGCTAGATGGTGTGCTACACAAGGGGCAGAAGGTGAGCTTCATGGAGTGGCCTAAAGGATGGATGATAAAGCTCTGCTTTCCTCTGCCCCCAAAAGGCCTTTCACCAGAGTGCTATCCAAGGACCAGGCAAGAAAGCAAAGCACCCTTCAGGAAACCTTGTACACTCTGTTGGACAACAAACCGGGGCGGGTGATCACAGCAGCTTTTTTATCTCTGAAGGTGAAAAATCACCTTATATACTACAGTAACAACAATCTGCTCCATCTCAGTGTTCCTCTGGCTCCCACCACTCTTCATCTCTTCCCAACAACTGCACCACCACAGGTGTTCGGGTGGACATGACTGGCCGAGCAAGTGGCACACAGAGCCAGCTGTACCCTGTGCACATGTGATCTGCATCTTCAAGGAGGCTCTGTTTGCTTACCAAGGATGCTGACAAGTGATTGGCAGTGTGCAACATCTGTGTGTGCTGATTTTAGAAAGAAATATGGTGATTTCTACCCTTAATGCTCTTGCCTCCTCTTCAGTGCTGGCAGCTGAAGTCATGGTGTGCAATTGCAACAAATTGGGTCAGGAGGAACTCCCTGGAGTGCTCTCCCAGGTGCAACTACAGAGGCCACAGTTCTCTTTTGAAACTGCTAAGGGAAAGGCAACAACACAAAAATTAACTCATGGTATTTACTGTTCTGAGGTATCAAGGAAAACTTAAGGAAATCCCTAAAATGAGACTGTGACACAAATCATATGTTTATAAACTGGTATCATGTCCATCAGGGTAAAGATTATGATCTCTCAACCTCCATGCCACAAAGATCAGATTTAGTTGTCAGAAATTTCTTCCTCCAAGAAGATATATTTTTTTATAATCACCCATGATAGGGATTTTATACCTATCTCTGGAATATTCACTCCTGGTTTATCTAGTCCAGTAACCTATGTAATATTTTTTTATATTTAATGGTCTCAGTCTATGAGCATCTACAATTGTCTCTTTCCTTCCTATCCCCTTTGTGGCACCAGCTCTTTATTAGAAACTTAATAAACTTTGTGTATGTTCTAAAGATAATATTGAAAATGCAAAATTGTGTTCTGCATTTTATAATTGGTGTGGAAAAAAGGGGGAGATCTAATCCTATTGGGCCTTCTCTCTCTTTTGCTCTCTCTCTCTCACTTTTCCCTTTTGATGGTAAGCAGCAAATTTTAATTAGCTTCATTTCCACAATTCAGTCATGCATATGTAATCTTTGTTCACTCTTTTATAAAGTAAAATTAAGTGAAAGAAATGGGGTAATAATAGAAAGCTTGTCTGAGCAGAACAAATGTGAATTATCAAACATAAGGAAAGATGACTGGCACTACACAGCTTGAAGTTGTGCAAGGTTTGAGGTGATTTTTCTGAAACAGAAATACATAAATAATGCATAGAAACAGGTGCTGATTATCCTGGTTTGGGCATCTTTTGTTCATTATATACTTGGGCTGCTGAGGTACAGTGATAACCACTGAATGTGAGGAGACTGCTTAACAACAACTTCCTAATGTTTCTCTTTTATCATGAGCTGCAAGTGTCACATGAGCTTGTCTAGTTAATAAAAATCACTTTGTGAACCCACTGTTCTTAGATTTGGTATTGGAGCAGATCACAGTACTGGGCCTCTCTCTATTACAGCTGCAAAAGCTGTATGGCCATTTTGCATTGTAATTTAAAGGTTTCCTAATCCATATACACACCCTCTAATTAAATGTTTCCAGGGGTTACCTTGGGAGCCTTCAGTGCTATGGTTTGAAACTAAAACTAAAGAGCATGTTAAATTCGTTCCCCTTGGGGTGAGACACAGTAGGGGGAAGTACATTTTCATCCCCTGCTACTCCAGATTATTTGAAAGCATGAGCATGACTGGGTTACTGACTTCATTATTGCTCTTATCTAACATGAGAAGACGGAAATTTGAAGGGAAACAATTGATGTGTCTAAATCTCGAGTTCAGCTTACTTCATAACTTCTGAGAAGGCTCTTTGGAGTCTAGCCAGTTATTTTAAGAAGCTACCAGTTCAGCAGCAGCAACTGAAAACCAGAATGTCCTGTTGATGTAAATCAGTCCATGGCTGCACATAACCAACACTGCTGCTGCAGATGCCGAGGTCTTGATAGAAGGAAATGTAAAGTAGTGAAGCTTGTGGCATTAGCACACGTAGTAATGGAGTCTGAAGCCCAGTTAATGTTAAACTCAGGAGGAGATACTTTCTCTTTAGCATGTGTCCATTCACGCATTCAGCCTGACCACACCAAACCAACAGCTTTAGGTGAAACACCTCTTTTCATCCTTGTGAATAACCTCCTGCTACAGGAAGTGAATTTCAGACATGGGTGGCTCACCCTTTTTTTTTTTTTTCCTCTCCTCTAAACCCGCTGTTCTGCCAGTGACTAGAGAACTAGGGATAGCCAAGATTTAAGTTAATGGTTAACAGAGTAGCTGTAACCACACAGACTTCCTCCTGGGGCGGGGACCAAAAGCTGCTTTGCTTGCAGAGGAAGAAGCAAGCGCTGAAAGCAGAGCAGTTCATATCGTGAAGGGCTGGAAAACAGCAGCTTCAGTCCATAGAGAAAGGAGGAGGAAAATCCAAAAGGAGAAAGAGGTGTTTGCCATAAAGATAGGTAAGAGCTGAAACACTTTCCTGTTCGACTTACTGACTCAGAGGGTTGCTAACAAACCCCACAGGTGTGGCCAGGTGACACACATTATACCTGACTGCTCGGACATGTGCGTCTCTGTGAGAGGGGCAAAGCGAGAAAGAACCTGTTTGCTGTGAATTTGAACATCAGAGAAGGCAGGAGGGCACTTTGTTCCTCCTCCCTGCCAGGGGCTGCTCATGGCAGGACAGACATCCACTTCAGACTGCTCTCATCTCATTGACCACAGCCATGTTCAGGAGTTTGAGGTGGCTCTGTGGATCAAGATCACTTTGGCCTTAGTCTACATCTGCATCTTTATTGCGGGCATCTTGGGCAACAGCATCACCATCAAGGCCACCAGGATCCTGCAGAAGAAGGGCTACTTGCAGAAGGAGGTCACCGACCACATGGTGAGCCTGGCCTGCTCTGACCTGCTGGTCATCCTGCTGGGCATGCCCGTGGAGTTCTTCAGTGCCATCTGGAGCCCCTTTTCTACCCCCAATGGCAACATTGCCTGCAAGCTCTACTACTTCCTCTTTGAAGCCTGCAGTTATGCCACTGTGCTGCACGTTGCCACCCTCAGCTTTGAGAGGTACATCGCTATCTGCCACCCCTTCAAGTTCAAGTCTCTCTCTGGACCCCGCACGGTGAAGCTGCTCATCGCCTTTGTCTGGGGGACATCTGTCTTGGTGGCTCTGCCCCTGCTCTTTGCCATGGGCACAGAATATCCCCTGGAAATCGTCGAGGGCTACCAAAGTACGATGGCCTGTGTCAGACCTACTCCCAGGCACCTCATACCTGAGCTGAAGTACAACATGACCATCTGTACCAGCCTCTCTTCCAAGTTTCCTCTCTTTCAAGCCAGCATCTTCAGTGCCTTTGCTGTGTACATCATAGTGCTGGGATCTGTCACCTTCATGTGCCATAGCATGATGAAAGCCCTGATGATCCACAAGGAAGGAACTGTGGCAGTGAAGGGAGGACAAAAGCACCAGAAGTATCTAAGAAAAAGTGAGAGCTCAGAGGGCAAGAGCTCCAGGAGACAGATCATTTTTTTCCTGGGTAAGAGCCCTGTCCTATTCTGCCTCCCCTCTGTCCTCTGCCCCCTTTCCACATGGGAATGAAGCCCAGAAGCCTCCATTTTATCTCACCAAGTTCCTCCAAATGGGGAATGTATGGTTGGAGACCAGTACAAAATGAGGGATAGGCAATACTTTTGGTTGCGAGCATACATTTTAAAAAATCTGATGTCTCTGTATGTTTTTGACACACTCTTTTTGTCATTAGAACAGGTGGGAGGGAAAAAGAAGGAAAAATCCATTCACTGTTTGCTATTTCTGTTGTCTGATTATCCTGCATGCCTATGTGCAGCAGTATGGGTGATAGGCTGTTGCAGCTTGACCTTTGGGGTAGCAATAGGCAACAGTTGCCTGGATATAAAGTAGCTCTACTTGCATATTTTCCCAATAAATTACAAATATGAGCATACTTAGTAAGGCTCCTGATGGGAAGGAAGACTGTCTTGGAAGATCTGAAGCTTGTCCCTCTCTAAAGGCATTTCCCTGTTGATTCAGGATGCTCCTTGGAGAGTTCTTATTTAACCTCAGTAGTTATGGCTGTGTTGCATCTGAGCATCAAAGAAGCTGGGCTGGAGAGTTTATTTGATATTTGGTTGCCCTCTTTGAATTTTTTTCTCTGGTTTTATTTGAAGGCCTGTAACCTCGAAATTATGTTTGATTCTGATCTCTGTTGCCACATTTGTCAGACAAAAACTAATCAAGCTGTCATTTCGCCAACTTGGAATCTTTCCGGGTTGTGATCCATGTAGTCTCCACATTTGTTGATGTTCTTAGAGGTGCCCTTAATCATGCCCTGGCTGCATTACTAATAGTTCCTGTTTTATTGGGTTGCTTAATATGATACTGAATATAATAAATGAACCACCTAGTGTAAGAATATGCAGTAGACCCAGTACTTGTGCGTTGCTTTTTAGTGCTCTGATTGATTTTGAAGAGAGGGAATTGAAACTTGTGGGTCTGTCCACTTCTGCAACTTTAGGTAGATTAGCTCTTTTATTATTTTTTTCCTCTTTTTAAATTATTTTTGCTTTCTGAGGGTTCTCTGATTCCTCCTCTAGTCCTGCTTTTGCCATGGTCTATGGCTAGGACATGAATGCAGGGTAAAGAGCCCAGGGTGCAGCCAGCCCCTTTCCTGCTGCAGCTGTGTGAGAGCACGGTGAAAACCTGTCATTCAGACAAGGCATATGACTTGGGTTTGGGACAGGGTGGAGCTGCACAGTCCACCAGCAGGGAGCATGACAAGGGCTTCAAATGGGAGATGTGACACTCCAGGCTGTACAGAGCCCTTCCTCATGCTCAGAGTGTACATCTAATGAAGAAATCATCTCCTTTCACAAGGAGTCTGTTAGTCTAGGGCAAGAGGCCCTGTATGTGGGTGACTGAAAGGCTCTCAGTATCCTCATTCCACTTGACAGTACTGATTTCTGGGGTAGAGGCACAGCAGTGTAGCTAAATATACCTGTTGCACAAAGCAGAAAAACAGATCTGCTCTTGAAGTGTTACCTGTGGGTTCCTTAAATGTCTGTGCCTCTGCAACCCGTTGTAAGTTACCATTACCACAGCTACATTAAAGCCCAGTCTAAGATCCAAATCCTGGCTAGGCTGAGGGGGGAAGGTAAATTGCCATGACTTTTTTCCCCTTCTTGATTATTGTTCTTCCTTGGTGATGGTCTAGTATGGAATAGGCAGATGGTGCTGCTTGCAGGAGCACTGGAAAGCTAAATGAAAGCAACTAGTTTGCCCTCTATCATGAGGGAATTTGCCACCAGTATCTGACACTTCCTCCGTACTCTCAGCTTTTTGGAGGCAGTAGATACTTCCACAAATTCCCCCAAATTATTTCAGTGGTAAGACTTTAATATGAGTCTTGCTAATTTACTTGGCTTTGGGAATAAATTAATAAACTGAGGAGGAAGAAACTCTGGCCTGCAAAGCAATTTAATTTGGAGATTTCATAATAGTGATGCTTTAGGGCAGTTTTAACCCAGAAGAAATGAACATATAAATTGTTTACAAATCGCTGAATTTAAATATTGTGATTTAGAAGTCCTCTTTGTTTTTCATTTAACAGATGGGTCAAATTAAAACAAATACTTGCACATTCTCAACATATTTCACTTTTAATGTGAAATGTAAATGGCAATATACAGCATCATGTCTTTGAACATCTAGCAGCAATAAAAACAATTTAGCATTTTCCTCTAGTTGTTAAAAGTGATAAGTTCTATAAAACAGAGATTAAATTCATAAATCTCCTGACGATGAGAAAAAGCTAATCAGGGGATGGCACAGGAAGGATCTAATGCTTTTTTAGTGTCACGTTTTTGTGTGGCACTTGAGAATATTCATGAAAATTAATTGCAAATGTTGAAAGGGAAAGACCACTTGCCATAAGCAGTATTGATGCTTACAGGATGGGCTCCAGGTAGGGTGACACCACTGGTGGAGGAGGAAGGTGGCAGGGGGACAAACACCATGGTCCTGGACAGGCTGAGCTCACGTGGGGAAGAGCTTTTGTGTTCAGGGAAGGTGTCTGCAAGGGTCAAATCTTTCAGCTTAAAGTCCAGATGGTCTGATTGGGGATTTGAAGTCTCTGATGTAGAGAGATCAGTTCCTTCTCTTTCTGGCTACCTTGCTGTGCTCAGGGTGGAAAGTAGGGATTGGCCAAATGGCTGCACTAACAACTCTGCCAGCTGTTGGGGAGCGGGTATTTAAAGGGGCTCTTCAGCTCAAATTTGGTAGATTTGCCTCAGTGGTGGAATGCAAATTTGTCCCAGTATTTTGGAGAAAACCAATTCTGTTTTTATAAAGTAGGCTGTGCAATGCTATTCCTTCCAACCTCCTTCTCACTATTGCAGTTGGCTCCAAGAAAAATGTGATAGCACATGTAAGTCTCTGCAGAATGATCCTACTCCAGAAATTAGGCATTTTGTGCCTTTGGATAGACTGGGTCATACTTCCTGCAATGTCTGTGTGTGATTTATTTAATACTTTTCAGAGTCATGTTGTAAAACCCCAGTGCCTCCAGTGGATCAGTCCATCCATATGAGCAACACAGGTCACACTGCTTGACATTGTTTGGGTTACCTATGTTTGATGTTAAAGCAGTTTTGCTCATGGTGGGACAGCAGATCTTTCTTCTACATGTGCCTGTATGAGTGTGGCTGAATATCACGGAAAATATAGCTGAACTTCATTTTTGGTTGGTTCATAGCAGCATTTGTTAATAAAAGTTTTTCCACCCTGAGCACCAGAAACTGGATAGCTGCAGTGGTTATAAAACACTTGGCTGATGGCTTTATGATTAAATGCAAGCTTTTAACAGTATTTAAAACCTCCTAATGCCTGACCCACCCTGACAGGGATTGATTTCATCTTTGTGGCTACTTGATCTTGTCTTTCTCCTTTGACCCTAAAGGGCAGGGCAGTAATCACCTAAATTGTCACGAAGTGCCATTGGGGACCTCTTACTTCTCTGATACCTGAGCTGAGACCCCTGCACTGTATCAGAGAGCTCTTAAGAAAGGACGAGTTTGGAGACATATATCAATTATTATAAATACTGTAAGTGGGTTGTAGCAAACAAAGGAGGAGAATGTAAAGAAAGGATTCCATAAAAGAAACCTCCAGCTAGTGCAATAATTATAAATATTACAAAAGGAAGGCCCTTCCATAGCTGCAAGTAAGTTAAAAGTCTTTAGGAAATGTTAACAGGTGGGCTTTGGGAAAGAGGAGCAGTATGGGGGAAGCCTCCACACAAGGTGCTGCTGGGAAAGACCAGTGGCTCCACGCCAGCAGTGCCTCCTCGCTGGTCATCGCTATATCCTTCTTAATCTGGTCACTGTATAAATGCACATTTATACGAAAGCAGCTGTATGGTTTGTCATCAGGCTAGATCTGACTCACCTGGGCTTGTACTCAACAACTGAGTTTTGACTATCCCAGCTGAAAAAAGTATTGCTTCTAAAGCTTCTGTGATATTTCTCTTGGCAGCTTCAGTTTGTGCTTCTGCTAAAAGCCTTAATCATTTTACATAAAGCAGCCTCAAGCCTACCACAGTAAAGACATTGAAGTGAGATTCCTTTATTGTTGCTACCCCCTCTTTGCCCTTTGGAGCAACACTCATCTGTTTCCACAGCAGAGGGGTCTTGCTGCATGGGGCTGGTATCTGGGCAGTCCTTTTCTGTCTCCTGACCATGATGAAGCATCCATCCATCCTGAGCTCTCCCATGAAGAAATGAAAAGTATCACAATAATCAGGCTGTTATGGAAGTGTTGATGAAGATGCATTAAAGCACTGCTACAGCAGTCCGCAGGAGCCAGAGCTGATGCTGGACCTCCCTAAATGGAGAATCTGCTGCTACCAACCCAGCACTGTCAGCTCCTCTGTGAGTGAGGCCAAGTGAGGCAGATAATTCCCAATGCTCTCTCTTTCCCATCACTACAGAAATTCAACTGTTCTCCTTTGGGACCATCTGATGTAGGATGAATTTTGCCTACATGCCTGGACAGCAAATATCCTACAGCTTCTTTAATAATCAGGCAAGGGAATTGCTTATCATAATCAATGACAGTGCCTCCATCTGAGAAAGGCAGTGTGGTGGTGGTGGTTTTTGTTTGTTTCTGGGTTTTCTTTTTCTTTTTTTTTTAATTTATTTTATTTTTCATTTTTTTCTAACACTTAAGTATGTCAAATACACTGAGTGTCAACTTGAAGGTAGCAGCAGTGGTGGTTCCATGTGATGTGGTGTGGTACAGGTCTGGTCTCCTTTACAGGGCAGTAGTAACTAAAGGCTTTACTGAGACTCTGGTGACTGCCACAGAAGGAAAGAGAGTCCTTGTCTCTGAATCAAAAAAACAATGGGCAAAAAGGAAGGGCTGGAAAGGAAGAAGTCAGTGCCCTAATCAAGGCCACAAATGCAATAGAGAGTCACAAATGCATCTGCTGAATCTTGCAGTAGTGACCTGCCTGCTCAGCTGCCT